GTTTTTACAGTTACGATTCATAATTATAATTTTCTCACGTTCCTAATTCTATTCTGTTATTTAGATATCTCGGAATCACAGTATAAACATTAGTATGAACATGTAAATTATTTTAATTCAATAGATCTGTATTTAACACTTTCTACATTGTATACAATTTGGACGAAGTAGAAAAATCATGCAAGGCATAGCTAGCGTAAATAGTTAAAGCACGTTATATACCAGAAATTATTGACATCACAAAAAACGTCCTTTCAAAACTATATAAATTATGCACAGAAAACACATTATGCAACTGATACCAACTCGTCAACGCACTGCTCGTTATAATAATGCACGGAAGTACACTGCACAGAACGCAACGAATCCTATAACAGGGCCACAAGGCCAGACCAAACGCTGTAACAGCGTCACCCGCCCATCAACACATTTAAGAGACGCACAAGAGGCGCAAACCTAGCAAGGAATTTTATCAACCATCGGCATATCATCTCCACGTTTCACTATTACCAAACATCGAAAAGGATTCATGTCGGATAAAGATCCAAGGACGAGCCTTTAATTTAATTATATTAACTGCTTCGGCGGTTTTGCCGGTGTGTAACAATTTGTTAGAAACTTACTTTGATACCGATCTCAAATCATCAGCACTGAGAGTGAACCCTACGAACTAACACTACTACCAAATATAAAGTGAAATTTTAAAAACGATTGCATAGATGTTACGCAAACCCGCTAAACCAAAAAATGTGCAAACGAGTCATATAAAGCGTCCGTAAAATTATCACTTGCTACTACTTCACTAGCCCGCAGTAGCCAATTTAGGGTCGCAATTCAGAATTGCTACGCCGAGACGACAATAACACATAATAATAGAGGAAAATGAGCTAACGAATATGAACACACCGTGATGGGAACATACCCGCCGGTTACTTATGACTGACAGTGTTTCCTATTACATCGTCAAAACTACACACGCTTACTATTAATTTACCATCTAAGCTCGAATCGATTCAGGGGCGATACAATCGCAAACACGAAAATACGACGTCTCAACGTAAATTCACTGTTAAAACTCAAACACGCACTGACACCCATTTACACATTCGCCTAGAAGATTTTTCCTGTAAAACTTTCAAAAAACATGATTTTGTCTAATATCTTAATGATTCCATTCACGAATTGAAAAGAAAACAGCTGCTTTTTTTTCAAGTAAGCAGCTTCGCGCCGACTAATATATCCTGACCAGGATCCGATTACGTCTAATAAAATAGTCACCGTGAGACATACGCGAACGTAGGCTTCGTAATAAGATACGAACGTATAGGATGCGAACGCTACTACCAAATTTTGTCTGCATCGCAAACTTATTAAATAGCAATATCACAAATAGCGATTAAAGTATTCATTAATGACTGCATGGGAACATGATTATCACCAACTCCCTCTTCTCTCACTAATTTTTCTCTCTGATAGCCCGGGATATGGATAACTGGGGATATGATAGCCATCGGGGCCAACATCCCTCCACACATAGAAACATGTAAAACGTCACACCATAGATACACACGAGCACGTGTGTTTGTTTATATATATATACGGTCTAAATGCCAATCGAATTTGCGACTGCACTTTGTATCCCTATACACTAACTTTAGACATGATGGAGGCTAGACATTATTCTATCTATGTTATATACGCAGATCTCTTTACTATCTGGCGGCCTAGGTTCCTAACAAATATATAAAGAATTCTATGAAATCAGCTCGCTCGCGCCTACAAATACGTTACCTCCAATTTTCAACGGCCTCAGCGGTTTAAACCGCAAGTAGGACCAGTATATCAAACAGAAAGACTTCAAATAACAACAGAAAACGGAAGAGCAAGGAGGGCGTGAAACGCAAAGTACTATTTTATCTTTACACTACTGGTAGGCCCGATTGATCATTGACTAGATAATGACAATTTGCTTTCTGTAATAAAAAGCTCCTTTCCTTATTACTCTACCTACAGTTCAATATATAATATATATATATATATATATATACATATACACACATACATACATATACACACACGCACACACGCATTAATATAACGTAAGTGACCGACCGTTGCATAATAACATCATAGCCTCGAAGAAAACACACGAAAAATCATCTCTACTCAGTTAACTTTCATACGTGTCTTCGACATGCACCGCATAGACATCCATGTGAGCAAGCGTAAGAGCCTGTCTTTGCTCCGGACTGGGCAGGAATAGCTGCAGTGAGAACGAGCAACAGCAGCAGCCAGCGATCTGACAGCATTGAAAGCCCAGGCAACGCAACGCAGACACTTCCAAGTACCACTACCTTAGAGCAGGGGTTCTTAACCTTTGGTCCATGAACCCCTTTGGGATCCGTGGATGGGCTTCAGGGGGTCCGTGAACCAGGCGCATAAAACATTTGCGTTTATGTGCTTATGTGCATTTATCTGGGGAGGAGTCCGTAGCTTTCACTAGATTCTCAAAGGGGTCCATGACTCAAAAAAGGTTAAGAAGCACTGACTTAGAGTAATACTATACTATAGTACCGCTAACTCTCACTTGCTACGCGTCGATTGATCTATGGCGGCGTTCCGATTTCGTTACTCAAATCGAGGATATTGGTTCGTGTGTCTATAACTGAAAGCTGATATGGCATTCTTGGGCAGCAAGCCGATTACTGGCCTATATGTATGTAAGAAGCACATTAATAACTAATGCGTATAAATTTCACAAATAGCGTTTACAACAAGTTGAAAGTGAGCGCATTATAAACCGAATCACAATACATTAAAAACTTACTAGAAACTCCGAACTGCTAGCTGTATAAAATAATAGATCTAGAGACATAGTGTGCTCTCTTTACAATTAATGTAAACAATACTGTTTACATAGACCATTCAACGCAGTACAACGATGGCACACTTAAAACTAGTTCATTACAGATAATTACACAGCGAAGTGGACATTGCACTCATCACATTGATATAGAAATCGAGGTCTTTTCACGAACTACTTAGTGCTACCTTCCTATAATTTTGATTTCCCCTTAAATACGATATGCACACATTCAAAAGATCATATATGTACACATATTACCAATTGTAATATGAAACAATAGATTACAACTCACGCGTTATATGTTAATTATTACAGTCACGCATTCGCAAAAAAGCATAGAAAGCATAAAAGGGCACGTAGCGAAACCTAATGTACAAGTCTTTCCCTCGCATAATTAATCATAAATTAATCATAACAGAGCTTATTCCCCCCCCCCCAACCGAAGCAGTAGGGGGCTCCACTATTTTGTGGAAATTAGCAATTCGTTTTCCAACACCGCAAATAAATTACATATATAAACCCATTTAAATCTAATTATCCCTCTAATTACGACCACTAATGTGTAAAACGACACCAAATAAAAGTCAATGAAGCAAACTACCTAAGTTTTTTATCAGTATCCGTAGCATGTATTATGGCCATGCTTTAGGGTATATTCTGGAGTTGTATGTTCCTGAGTATGAAATCATTTCATTTCTGGCCTAATTTTCTTTTCGCTATATGGCCTATGGAGGCCACCACCGAATCGTGTCTTTTATGTAAAAAATGTCAGTATATATAAAGACCTGTAGTATAATGACCTGTAACATACCACATACATCTGCGTTATGTGAAAGTGCAGAGGTGGAAACTGTTTCTCTCTCTGCTGTGTATTACATATGGTACAGGATATGAGATCTCAAAAGCCCGCGTTTCAACCATGTCATATTTCGATTTCTCTCTCTTGCTCGTTCTACAATTGAAATGCAGAAAGCGTCACTTGGTGCCACAAGATGTTGTGAAATCAGCACATGCGCTTAAATTGATGATAGAACGAACCCCAATAATGTCACCTCACGTTATTAATAGAAATATCTCCTCGTATGTGGAAGGTCGGTGGTTCAACTCCTGGCCGGGTCATACCAAAGACTTAAAAAATGATACACACGGCTTCTCTGCTTAGCATTCAGCAAATAGAGATAGAGTGTGGCAAGTTAACTCGCAGTGCTACCAGTGGACTAACCCCCTACTGTAGCATTTACTGTGAAAGCAGCTGCGGGGCCTCAGGGTTACAGAAACGGAGATAGGCACCGCCCTATGCGCCTGTAGCTATACGCTATGCGTATGAAGGCGCGGGAAGGTTTTAACTTTAACTTTTATTAATAGAAATAATTGATAACATAATAATAAATTGCTTCATTATGCACGCACAAGGTATATCAATTGCTACCCTCACTGGTAACTCGTATTTACAGCGCACATTCATTACTTATATAATTTATAACACATCGACAATGTACATAGCTACTCTGATGGCACCGCGGACACACTTTCTGTCTCATGAGAAATAAGTTACACGGAGAAATTGTGACTCTGCACTAGGTACAGTCAAACACCGGCTATCTTGAACACGCAAAAGCACCTACGGCAGAGACAAACTGGGGATCTGCTTCGAGAAGTGGCCATAACATTATTGTCTCACAGTTGATTATCAGAAGACCTCACCCCGATCAGAATCGGGTGCTTAGCTCCTCCTCCATGTCATCGTAACCCTCCACGCCACTACCCGGGTTCGATCGCCTTTCCCGCATCTCCTTCCGCCTCCTCTCGTCCTCTCCCTTCTCCCACTCTCTGTGCGGACTCACCTGCGCAGAATGTCGCTGATGCTGATTCTCGTCCTCGTGGCTCCCACGCTCTCTCTGCATCTTCCTCTGCTGCTCTTCCTCCTCCTGACTCTCTCGCTTCCTCTGCATCTTCCTCTGCTTCACTTCCTCCTCCTCCCGTTCTCGTCGTGCCTTCCTCTGCATGCTGTCCAGCCACTGCATCTCCTGCTCCTTACTTTCCCACCCCTGACGTGTTCTACTTTTCTCCTCCTCTGCATCCTTCTCTTCCTCCTCCCGTTTTCGGCGGGCCTTCCTCTGCACACTGTCCGTCCACTGCATCTCCTCCTCCTTTCTCTCGCGTGCCCAGAGCATACTTTTCTCCTCCTCCTCCTCCTCCCGCTTCCGCCGCATCCTCTTATCCTCCTCTTCCAGCTCCCGGTGGGACCTCCTTCTCTCCTCCTCCTCTAGCTCCCGATGCGATCTCCTCTTTTCCCCCTCCTCCGTTTCCCTATGCGAGCTCCTCTTATCCTTCTTTTCTAGCTCCCGGTGGTGCGACCTCCTTCTCTCCTCCTCCTCTACCTCCCAATGGGACCTCCTCTTCTCCCCCTCCTCCATGTCCCGGTGGGACCTCCTTTTCTCCTCCTCCTCTACCTCCCAATGGGACCTCCTCTTCTCCCCCTCCTCCATGTCCCGGTGGGACCTCCTTCTCTCCTCCTCCTCTACCTCCCAATGGGACCTCCTCTTCTTCTCCCCCTCCTCCTCTAGCTCCTGGAGCATCATCCTCTTCTCCTCCTCCTCCTGCTTTCGGCGGGCCTTCTTCTGCGCACTGTCCTTGCGTCGGCGCACCAGCTCAGGATCCAGCTCCTGGTAGATGTGCTCCGGCCGCATCCACAAATTCGCCGTCGGCCGGTGCCGGCTGATGTGCACGAGCCCGTGCGGATTCGCCGTCTCCCCCGCCGCACCGCTGCTCTGCTGTTCCAGCTGCTGCCACGACTCCTCGTAGTTGAGGCTCGACTGACGCGAGTGCGTGACGACGAGCGGGCCCGTCGCCGCGGCAACCGTCTCCTCGACCGTGCTGTAGTTCGGCTCGCCGCCGTCATCGTCGCTGTCGTCGTCAGCGTCGTCGATGTCGTCGATGAACGTTATCGACGCCGACGAGCAGTAGAGGGCGCCGCTGACGTGCCGCGTCAGGCTGCCCGTCTTGTCGCCGCGGCAACGCGCGTCGGGCGCTCGCCGTCCCGGAGGCCGCCCTCGGGGGGCGTTCGCGTCGGTAGAGCGACGACGTCGTCAGCGCGTCCACGATGCGCTCGTACGCCGCGGGTCCTCATCGCCGCGCTCCGCCGCCGCGACGCGTCCGACCGCCGGCGCCATCTGGCACCGAGTGACGCGATCGGCCGCCGTCGGGCGAGTCCACGCCCGGCGACGAGCGCCGCTTGTTTGTTTTCTTGCGCGATCGGTCGACGACGGCGTAAAGGTCGGTGACGCTCGTTGACAGAGTCGGCGACGTTGACACGTGCTCGCTGGCAGGCCGTGACGACGCGCGAGGCGGCGGCGTTGACGGCACAGTCGGCGCTGACGCTGCAGGTGAAAAATTAAAAAATTAATTAATAATTATAAAATAATATATATATAAATATCTAATGATAATATAAATAAATATAATTAATACCATATTGTAGACAACATCGGAGAACCGTTGACACTATGACCCAAAAACAATTGCTGACATTTTACCGACAATGCAGAATTTCTTTGCTCTTTACAATCAAGCCACGAGACCATATAACGGTCGAATCATTTACATCTTTGAGTGGTCTCTCCCATCTGCTGAGAGACTCACTTTTATAATCTTAGCATGTTAAAACGATCATCTTTCTTTAGTTATCTCTTTCATCTTTTGAGCTAATCGTCGAAAGCTTGTCTAAGTTACAGAAATGTGTATAAACACATTTACGTTTAACTCATTGTTTAAAGTATTACTGTTTTCACCACAGTTCTTCAGAACATCATAACTGTCATTAGAAAGAATTACTGTGGAAGCAGTGTTCAAAATTCAATGAAGCAGATACAGCCAAGTGATCGGAATACTTCTCTATGAATTAGCATGGTAAAATATATTCCTTTTTATGTTTAAGTACATTTACTTTAAAATTTGACAAGTTGCATAAACAACATGTTATCTGCTTAATGTATATCCACACACAAAACATTATCAGCAAAATTACCCAAGTAACTTTTAAACACGCCAACCAGGCTCGAAGTGATTGCATCTAAACATTGCATTGCTACGTATGCTATCTGCTTTGTGCCATTGAAAGTGTCTGTGACAAGTACACACATCTACGTGTTCTTACCCATGCCATAGGTAATGTTATAGAGTCGCTCCACGGCAGGTGGCTCAGGAGGAGGGTCATGCCGGCTGTTCCCAGCACTGCCGTAGTTCACCTTTGCATAGAGTGAGCTCCGGTTCGAACCCTGGCCACCAGAGCGCGCATCGATCTCTGCATACAGCTCACTCGCAGGGCTGTTGCAGCCAGACTCATGCGTCGTACCGTCCCTTGCCTCTACAGTGACTCTCGGCCCAACCTGCAAATACTGTCACTTTTAGCAACCAGTCACACAACAGCCGGCTGCTTATGTATAGATAAATGAACAAATGAAGGAATAAATAAATAAGCAAATATATAAATGAACAGATAAATGTATTATTTGCAAAAACGAGATGAGTAACAACAACGCTGTTGCATATGTTTGAACATATGCACTTTAAAACTTTATTTTTAAATCACTTAAATTTTAAATCTTTAATTTTTAAATCACTTTATTCCCCGTATGCATGCCAAATGTTGTATAATCTGTGCAAGAAAACACCAAAGCTGAGCCAATTGCAGGAAAAAACCGTGACCCGTTACTATGAGAAAGTTATATAGCTTCAATTGTTTTTGAAAATGTAATTAGTTACAAGAGTTGAACATCATCCTTTTTTCAGAGCTGATACATGAACACAAACAGATTGTGTGGGTAATGCTGCGTTTACACTGTGTTCCCGGCGGCCACGGCAGCCCCGTTTGCCCGAAACGTAGTGCACCGCGGGATTATGGCAATTTTTTCCTCTGTATTCAAGTTTTGTTAGGTCTTGCCAAGTTTTCTCACGGTCTATCACGGTATCCGTGACGGGCCGTGGGGGGAAGGGGCTGCTGAGTGCCGGAGGGTCCAAGGCGCACTACGGTTCGGTCCGCGGTCTACCACAGATCCCAGTACGTTCCCTCCCGGCCCGTCACGTTCTGATGGGGTCCCTCACGTTTCTCACGATCTGATCAAGGTCTGACACGTTTTTCACGTTCTGTCAAGGCTTTCTACGGATGAAACGTGGACGCCGGGCAGCTTTGGAGCACGTTTGTGCCCACGGTATAAAAAGAAGGCCTCCCAAGCAATAGCAATCATTGTATTCTGAGATTTCGACGAGACAACATCATGAATGCCCAAGATGAAGATTTTGTGTTTGCATGTTTGCTGGGTGCATACATCCAGTCTTTGCATCAGCAAGAAGAAGGCCAGCAGCAGTTGCAGAGAGGGAAGGCCAGAGTGTAGCAGTCAGGAAGAAGGCGGATGAGAAGGCCAAGATCCATGTGGGTGCGCGAATGGTTATCGGAAGACAGAAGGCAGCAGCTGGGCCACTACTCAACATTTTAGCTTTACTTTTAGTTTTAGTCCAGTTTTAGGACCGCGCGCGCCGTGTCAGTCCGTAGTAGAACGCAACGCGCCGTAACGCGCCGGGCCGAACCCGTCCTGTACCGTCCGCCCCTTCCCGTCCCACTACGGACCGCCTCCAAGTTTTGTTACGGCCTATTACGTACTGTCACGTTTTGTTGCGTTCACCCCGTTTTACTACGGTCTATTACGTTTCTCATCCGCACCGTGACTGCCATGGCAAATCTTTTGACAAATTAATAATTTAGCGCAGCATCCACGGCAATCACGGCCTGTCACGTTTGCCCATTCCGTCCCCCCGCGTTGTCTCACGTTCATCCCGTTTTGTCCACGGTGGCCTGAAACGGGGCTGCCGTGGCCGCCGGGAACACAGTGTAAACGCAGCATAAGATTGATTCAAGCCATGGCACACGTAAACAAAGCACAGGCAAGGCAAAGCAAAGTACAATGCAAAGTAAAGTAAAGTACAAGGCAGATCTTACTGTCTTATGCAGAGTACAAGGCAAAGCAAAGGCAAAGCAAAGTACCTGAACGTAGCACAGGTAAGTACAGGTAACGCACCTGAGCGTACATATCCGAGTCGCCGTAATCGCTGTGAACTGTCGTGTAGTAATGTTCCTCGTCGGTGGAAGCCCCGCTCGTCGTGACAACATTCTGCTGCCTCTCTCGCTCGAGTTGCCTCGTCTGCTCACGCGCCTTGAGGTTTTCCAATGGCTCCCGGATGCCTGTAGCGCAAGACTAGTGTTAACAGGTATGCAGTCTAGACACAGGTACCTGGAGACAAGGTGTTAGCCAGGAAAGCCAGAAATCAGGGAGTCTCACCATCTGAGCGAAGCGAGGATGCTGCAGGTGTGAAGCGCCCTAGGGGGAAAAACCGACAATTTTATTTTCATACAGGCGTAAAATTGGGCCGCCCTCATGCCGTCTCTATCAAATTCCATCCGTCTCATCCAAGAATAGGCCGTCCAAAAGATGGGTAGACGGGTCTCTGGCTAACACACTGCCTGCAGAGGCAACAATCGTTCGGTATACTCTTATAACGTATACACTTGTAGCATCTGACTGTTATAAGACGTTCTCCCACGTACTTGACCTACCTATACTGAAGTAAGAGCTCTCTTTGCTGTCTGCCCTGCTTGTAGACTGTACAGCCGTGACGCTAGCAGGGGCAATGCCTGGTGGATAGCCACCAACGGCTCCTGGACTGGCATCGCACTCCATCTCATCAGGACTAAAGTTTTTTGCTGGTACGGGTGGGGGTGCTTCCGCATCCTGTAACAGCAGAAGTTCCCCCGTGAGGCCTGCTTACACAGATGCATGCACATTAAAATAATAAGTAGATGAACACTGGCAGTCTGAATTATAAGTATAATCAGGAGCCAAACAATATTAATCGATTCACAGTATAATATGGAAATAACTGTAGTAGTCTGTAGTAAAATTGTTATTCCTAACATTTAAAACATCCACCTTCATACAACATACGCCTATAACTTTTCATCCCTCGCAAATAGCACGTACATACATACATACATCCATCCATACAGCAGGGTTTATCTGCCCTTCCTAAGCTAAGCTTATCCGCAAATAACGCTTCGGAGTCGCAATTCATTCCAACGCATTTTCACACGCAACAATTTCGCTGAAAAGCAATCTGACCTGCATTAATTCACAATTCTGAATGACAATGCATTTTCAAGTAGTAATTATTCTGCGAGGATTTCTCACCTGCACTGATTCGTACACGTCCTCTGGCTCGGCCGTGCTGTAGTCGGGCGCGGGCTCCCTGACGATAGTGTAGCCAGCCGAGTCCTCGCCCGAGCCCTGGATGGCTCCCTGCACGGCCGTGAACGGAGGAGTCACCTTGGAGTATGGCGGCTCCGGCTCGGCTGCAGCATTGGGCTTCTTCACCTAGCATAGCAATGTAGCGTATTCAAAGCTGTACTACACTCATCATGCGTTCAGCACATGCAAGTGCCTCATATATTTTCATAAAATCATATAATTGAACCCCAGAACCTATTTCTCCTGATAAAAACGTGCCTGAATTAAAAGACGAATCAATGGATTGAATAATTGACAAACGAAAAAAGCCACACCTCAAAATTCGTACTCCTACTCCTACTTCCTTCCCTCCTTACCTGCTTTGTTTGCATATAATAAGTGTAAATGCATGAACACAGGCAAACAAGGCAACACAGAAAACATATCCGCGGCCGAACTCTCCCACAATCTAAACTTCACTTTAGCTCACCTTGGCATAAGGTGGCTCGGGGCGCCCTCTGGCGTCCAAACTGACTTGCACCGCAACGTCATCGCTGACCGACGCATAAAGCTCGGACTCATTGTCGACGCCCTGGACGTCCCGATTCACGTCCGCAGTGGCGCCCTCTGACGATGCCGCGCTGTCCTCCCTCGTGACCAAAGGAGGCGGTTCGGGAAGCCGGCGGCTGGTCTTGTTTTCGTGCCTGAACGTGTCGCGGATGCACGTGTGAAGTAAAGATGGCGTATATATCTACCACATGAAGTTACACGTCGTAATCGGGATAATAACTAAACCTTTGTCGATAAGGTAGCAGGTAGCAGAGGAGATAGCAAAGATAGAAAGAGTGGATGAGTATGAAAAGAAGAGAAGTATGCCAATGGAATAACATAAAAGATGCAGGTACCAGGGAAAGCAATTAGCAGACGAGAAGTATGAGAGAGTAGATTAGTATGAAAAGAAGAGAAGTATGCCAATGGAATAACATCAAAGATGAAGGTAACTGAGGAAATAACAAGCAGAGGAGACGTATGAAAGATTAAATAAGTATATACAGAACGTAGAGAAGTATGCCAACAGTATAATAATAAATGGCAAATTTACCAGAGGAAATAAAAGGCAGAGGAGACGTATGAAAGAGTAAATAAGTTTGGAAAGTAGAGAAATACACCAATGGAACAAAAAATGAATGATTAATGTACCAGAGGAGATAATTAGCAGAGCAGAAGTACGCACTATTAATTAATTTCTGAATTCGCACAGCCGGGACACATCTGCATAATTTCATACCTTATTTCGGACGACGTTGACGAGGTGTTCATGACATTGTTTTCGGGACTAGCAGTAGGACTGCTGGGCGCGTCACCATTGCTGTATCGCCCACTGTCCGGTTCGGCATTGACGACTGACGTGGTCAAATCCTGGTTCTGTAATTGTGTAAATCAGGATAGCATACTATGATTACAATTGTAACCGTCATGCACGTCCTACTAATTATATATATACATTACTACACATTCTTGCAATAATGCAAGCTCGCTCATATGCTGAAATGCACATGCAAACACAAACATATATGCATCAAGAGTATATAATAGAGATTACATCTCTATTATGTACTCTAGATATGCATGTATGCACGCACCCTATTAATAATACGTACATATTTGTTGGGTACATAAATCCAAAGGTATAGTACATACCTATAGGTATATACTGTTTACATAGGTAGGGTATATATGAGTGTACATATGGCCTATAATTTGTTAGAAATTTTTAGAAACAGTGTAGATCTTGATATTGTTGCACGTAAATTCAGCCAATGACAGCTAAATTATGGCCTCAATTATATGAGTTTATTATACATCGCAGAATAAAGGTGTGAATGTTTGCTGTGCAGATAAACAGTTTTGCAGACAGAGACAGTACACATCTCAACACTGGTGCCAAAGTTCCTGCGTGAGATTTAAGGAGACTATACCCAAGAGCTCACTTTGCCTCTTTACAACCATTTCTCCTTGAGGGTTAAACCAACACTAAACTAGGCTGTTATTCTGCCAAAGACGACACACATCGACAATGTGACACATCTAAACTTCTTACTCATACTGATCAGTGTCAATGAATGAGAGTCTATTCACTTCATCTATTCATCATTGCAGTTCTCTTTTTATTTGCCCAACTGCACTAATTTCATGCCCATTAAAGTTCCAAGATTGCTGACCAACCAGCACCAGTCAGTAGTGAGCACTCTGCTATCTTAATGATAATGATCTTAGATGATAAGCATCAACATTCTTTGTATTAAAGCCATTGTGCTACAATTTGTGCGACTGCCTATCTGCTTTATCTCTAACAGTAACAGCCTCAATGATTCCCTTCAGTGATTGCACAGTTGTTAGTTCCAAGTTTGCCAGTCAGCCCACACGAGAAATGATTGCAGCACACGTTGGCGATTAATATTTATAATTATATTTATGCTTCAAAGTTACACTATTAGATAAGGACACCTCGGTGCAGTGGTAAGAGAGGTTTGTGATGCGTGTGACAGCACAAACGCACACACGCATGCAAGCACGCACGCACGCATACTGATATAATTTTATACAGAGGTGTTATAATATCATGGCATGATATGAAGTTTATTCAAGTCAAGCGGTTGTGGAAGATGAAACCTTCTTGAAGCGGTAAAAAGCAACTCGTGAGTTCTACACTTTTTTTTACTTTATCATGCTGTATATACTGAAAATAGTACTAAATTAAACATGAACACAGTATTGTGTCTCATAGGCATTGGTAGGCCTGGTATGTGTTGAAAAGAAAACTTAAAGATAATGTAAAACAAGTTTGGACCTGTTTCTACATCATTTCTACATGAACGCTCATTCCAACGTTACACTAACAGGTTGAAGACATTTTAAATTTAGTCTCTGGTAAAATATCAAAATTCCTGTATTCTCAGTTCTATTTCAAAGGACCTTACTTTAGCAATTTCGGATGGGAGAGTTAATACGTTCAGTGGCTTGGAACGATCAGTGAATTTTACATCTCCAGGGCATGATCTGTGTACTCCTCCTTTATGAGCTGCAATCGCTGATAAAACACACTCACGCCCTGCACAGCGAGAGAGCAGTACATGTACACACAGGCTAATGTGTGCACAGCGCAAGCTAAAAGAGCGGGGCATACACGTCAGTGCACGTGCGAATATAGTAAGTTTTCAGGGGAGTGCTGGGACACCTGCTGATGCAAATATTGGCTGGGTGTACCACAATTTGTGGAGTATAGGAGGGAATTTTGTTTTTAATAAGAAAATATTTTTCACCTACCTACCTACTCGGTACCCTGAGAGGCGAGTAGGTAAAGTGGAAACAAACAATTTTTTAAGGGTGGCCTCATTGAACTCATGAAAGATATTCTCATTCATAAAACGACCTATCTGTGAGATAATCAAGCCCCTTAGAGAGTCGGCCCAGCTCACCCAGTTTTTACGAGGTTTTACGAGCGTGTCAACATGTCAACTTTACGGCCATTTGTTACTATGCACTGTCTTTAAAACGTCCTTAATTATGCAACACTCGCTGATTCGACCTGCGGGCCCATTATGCCTGGTGTATAGGTCAATCTACTAGCTGCCTCATTTATTCTGAATACAGCACATCTTATAGATGCAGCATGGCTGACATACCAGACATGTGTTGTGGGTGTAACCGTGCAAAATAAGCAAGCCATAAACTATGAGACTAATGTACAGACCTGCACTGGGGGCACATCCAGTGTATTTTCTGCTCTGACTGATATCAGCTGATCTATCTTCACAGCCTCACACCTAAACACAGAAGCGAATGTTGATATTACAGCACTTGGCACTTACATGTTGCACATGGTACGTACTACAGTGCAAGATAGGTCTAGATAATAGAATGGGAGAACAACAATAGGACATGCAAATATCTTGAAAAAAAACTAAAGAATTATCTGTCTGGATATGTTCCCTTTGTAGTTTAAAGCACACGCACGCACGCACGCACGCACCCACCCACCCACGCACGCACGCACGCACGCACGCACGCACACACACACACACACACAGGTACATACAAAGTAGCCTATAGCATCACAATATCATTGTCAATGTGATTTAGTAATAGTATTTCTGACAATTCAAGATAATCCGTTCAACATAAACCTTTCACGAAGTTCTAATATTTATTCTATTATGTACTATATATTAAACGTAAAACATTTTAGTCACTGCTACTACCTGCTAGTCTTAACTTCTAAGTATTTTCTATGATTATTCTATGTATTTTCTTTTTCCTTGATTGTACATTATGAATGTGAAATTTCATGCAAGCACATAAATTGTGCATCTGTTGAAGCACTAAACGAATATAATTGATTCGAAAACTAGAAGCACTGTAACAGTGCAACTTACTACTCAAGATGCCTGCATCAAATGCACTTACTTACAACAAAACTAGCTACTACAAGTTAGGTACAGTAACCCCGCAGGATAACACCTATGTCTGATGAAAAGGATAAAAGCAACTAATTTCAGTGGCTTAGCATGATTAAAAAAGAGTTGGTACTTACTTTGGTCTCTGCTGACAACAAACGCAAATGGCCACAGCATAGATGAGCACGACGATAGTAGTGATGGCCAGGCCGGCTCCAGCCAACGCTAGACCACCAGTCTCTGCCAACATCTTACATGCATCTACCACCTTACAGCCACGGCTTACTGCAACACAGTAATCACAAAAGTTTGGCTATAGATCTGGCTAAAAAAAACTCAATTAAACAGCATGTAAATGACAGTGAGGAACGAAATTCAAGCAAACCTAGAGGGATACCAACTGTGCTAATGCAATCAAATTTCAAAGGTGTTAAAATTATTGTACGAACATTCAAAGCCACACACTATACACAAAGATGCAGTATTGAATACAATGCAGAGTCTGAGAGCAACCACTTTTTCGAACTGGTTATAACAATATACATATATTACAATATAAACATACCACACGCATGTTTCTATGCATGCACAGTCCAGGGCTTTAATAGCACAAATAGATGTTCTGCCAACGCATGGCACGCAATACAAACACACAATACAGCACTATAAATCGCTAAGCAAGTTTTTGACCTGCAGATCATAATATGCAAACTAACAGTGTAGCTCACGGAGTTTGCTTGTCCATGCTAGTGAGCTATCAACTCAAAACTGCACATATTTATGTAAAACACGCTTAACTTTCGTCTGAAGTTTACACATCACGATGCCACAGAAACGACTAAGCAGTTAGGGATCCAAAGTACCAACAAACTAAATCCACGTCATACAGTAAACAGTGGCACATTATACCACCACGATAAGTCGACCAAAACCTGGAACATTTTCACCGCTCCAGTGACTCATGCGTATTATGTGTACATACATGGGCTAGCAGGTGGATCTAAACGAAATGTGTGACTGTGCTGTAGCGTACTCATTCACTGTCCTAGATACTTATTCTGGCGGGCTAAAAATCATTCATGAACAAGTGGCACAGTGCGAATGAAACTAGCTTTGGCCACTGCTGACCGACTTACAAGCAACATCAACATGCAACAGTTCTGGCAGACTATTTACGACTCACTAACCTAGGGAAATGCCATTGTTGTACCCAACTGGAAAGCTCTGTGCAGTAATTTTCGTGATTGCCTACGTTTCACCTGATTTGTTCTCAATGATTACAAGCTACCGCTAAAATCAATTGCTGCACAATAGTGGACATTAACGTGGAGGTCTGCATTTATTCTGAATTTCACAACTTACTATTGACAAGTCAAAGAATTTCTAACCATAATCGTATTACACTTGATATTTCTTGACTGTCAGGAACGCTAATGACAAAGGCAAACGACCAATCAGCGCTTCATTTATTTACCCGAACGAGCGGTAACAAGTACAGATTTGCAGTACACATGTATGGTCTGACGCAGAAAGCAAATTATTACCCAGAAGAAAGCCATTACAGGTCATGATCATTTACAAAGGAAATGCAGACCGTTCATCGATCATGTCAGACAAATTAAGTCAAGATGCTAGAATTAATTCACAACACCTTCCTACGTGGTAGAGACGTAACATAACATTCATTAACAGAGACGAACAAACAAAGTTTCAACACTGCACGGCATCCCAACGTGTAATTACGTGTTGTTAGTAATGTACACAATGAGGTTAGCGTTAATTTAATGAGCTAATTAACTGTGTTTACATGCTCACCTTCTATTACTTCACACTAGATCTGCCATGTTCTCTATACAGTCAAGACCTAACAAAAAAACAATAATGACATAAAGGTCAATCACTCTGCTAAATGTGAATACAACAGACACTACACTTAGCTATATGCAGTCTCTAAATAGGTTTCGTGTTTTTAATTAAACAAGTGCCGCAGAGCGACAGCGCTCAACCAACGTGTACGGGTATTCTTCAGATAAACTCACTGGCGACCGAATCAAGTTGCCTATACGCCTACTCCCTAACCATATCAGATAGTTACCAGGGTAACCTCCGATAGTACCCTGGGGGACATAGACCCTATGAGCGTCAGTGTCAGTGACAGTGCTGGTGACAGGGATTCGGACAGGGTGTGTCGATGGGAGAGGACGTGTTTTCGCGGCGCTCCGATTTAACACTACAGTGTGCTCTTCTCTGGCTGAAAGTTGTATAGATACTAGTAGTAGTACTACTAACATAACTTAATTACGTTATTTACCGTGAATTTCTCAAATTTCCGTTACTTGTGCACGAGTTATTTCATGCGATGCTAACTAACTAGCTGCAACAGCATTACATTGAAAACAAGAGTGCATCCATTAGTCAAACAACAACAAACAATTTTTCCCGCCTGAATTTACACTAAACATTCAAGATACTTGGCAAAAGCCTAAGGTAACACTAATTATTTAGCATATATGCACTGTGTCTATTCTTTACCTCTAACACAGGCCAACTTAGTCTCATTTGCTGTGTTACCCGGGGTGGCTTGTCGGGAACGAAGAAAGGAAGGCAGCCAGCTAGCTAGTTCCTACACAGTTACTAACACTAACACTAGTCATCACAGGAACAGGAACAGTATAAGCAGTTTACTATATATATAGTAAAGAGACTAACTATGTGTTGTGGCATCTATTTGCACCAATAAGAAAAAAACAGAAAAACGTAAATACGTAATAATATAATTGTAATCATCTAAGTGGTGCATTATTGTGTTGTTGTGTTGGTAAACATTACCAGCTATAGATGTCTACAGTACTAGGACTACGAGTAAAAGGTTACTGAGAGGATCAGCAAGTAGTAGCAATATAAATATGAAAGACAATACGGGGGGGTAGCTTGACAGGTAGCGAAAAGCAAGGTGGTGGCACCGATGCGGTAGAAACGTGTGGATCGTGTGGAAAAGTAGTGAAGGACTCGTGTCGTCCTTGGAATGCGAGATTTGTCAATTCTGGCACCACATTGAGTGTGAGGAAGTACCAACTGAAACATATAAGGTAATTGAGAAGGATCTGGGAGGCATACACTGGTATTGTAGAAAGTGCAACGTAAGTGTTGTGAAACTGCTCACCTCCATATCATGCCTTGATCAGAGGCAATCCGTGACAGAGACCAAAGTGAATGCATTGGACACAAGGATGATTGATCTAGAACAGAGTGTAGTCAAAACTAGCAATAGTTTGGACAAAATACATGACACTTTTGATAGTGTTCTAGACCTTAAAATAGATGAGACATTAAGGAAAATCCAAGATAGGGACCGCAGGAAGTGCAATGTCATTGTCTTCGGTGTCGATGATGGCAAGGTAAGGCTGAATCATGACTGTTCGGCTATAAAAGAACTCGCAAGGAGTACGTCGAAATCGATAGGACTTACAGACTCGGCAAGATTCAGTCGGAAAACAAGGGAATTTTAGCCAGACCGATGAAAGTTGTCTTGAAACAAGAGAGTGTACGAAGTCAGTTACTTCGACAAGCAAAGGCACTAAAAGACAAAAAGGACAAATGGAAGAAATGCTACGTGAAACCGGACTTGACTCCCAAAAAGATGGAGAGGACAAGAGTCTTAGTGGCAGAGATAGAAGAAAGAAGAGGCAAAGGGGAGCAGGATCTGGTATTAAGGTTCGGACAGATTGTCAAGCTAAAGAAGGAACGCGGGAAACCAGGCCTGAGACAATACTAGGGGGAGATAGAGGGGATATAGTTGTAAATAATGGTACAGGAGCACCTATTCTATTTCAAATTTCTACACAAATACACAAAGCATTGTAAATAAGTTAGACGAATTTGAAGCCCTAATAGACGAACTGAAACCAGACATTATTGGTATCACAGAGACGTGGGCAAATGAGAACACTCCAGACAGTTTGTTCACCCTAAGAGGGTATGATCTTTTCAGAAAATATCGGGTAGGAGCACAGGGAGAAGGAGTACTATTACTGGTCCAAAACGATCTCCAAGCATCAACCTGTCCAAGACTAGAGGTTAGCGAGTTTGCTGAATCAGTATGGTGTGAAATCCAACTAACTGGAGAGGATGTTTTATTCATAGGAGTGTGTTATCGATCACCAGCTAGTACACAGGAGAACAATGAGGAGTTGATTGATCTATTCTCTAAGGTAGCAAGTGGACAGGAGATGCATGTTCTGATTATGGGTGACTTTAATATACCTGAGGTTGATTATGTGAACTATTGCACCAGTTGCAGTCCACTGTCATTCCACAGTAGGTTTCTCGACAAGACCCAGGACATGTTTCTATTGCAACATGTGACGGTACCGACAAGATATTATCATATAGAGAAGGTCAAGAGCCATCTAAACTTGATCTGATCTTCACAAATGATGAGAATATGATCGATGAAGTGAGTTGTTTGGCACCCATCAGGAAGAGCGATCACATTGGACTAGCATGGACGACCATAACACACCTGGACCCAAACAGCCTGAAACACAAGTACGAAGGCCGAAACTACTGGAAAGAAGATTATATATCTTTAAACACAGAAATCAAAGCCACTGATTGGAAGACAGTATTGCGAGGTTTGGACACCAACAGTGCTTGGCAGGAGTTGGAGCTAAGAATTGAAGACCTTAGTAAGAGGAATGTATCAGAGAAGAGACCACCAAATAAGAACCAGAGACCAAGATGGCTGACCAAGCTTGTTCGAAAAGCAATACAGAAGAAGAGGAAATTTTACTTAAATACTGTAGACTGTGCAGAGAAAAAGATTATGCCAATTGTGTTAAACAGAGAAAAATCACTTCCAACTTGTGTAACAAAGCCAAGAAAAATTATGAGCGAGGTCTTGTTGATGTATTCAAGAGCAACCCCAAGAAGTTTTATGGGTACGTGCGCAAGAAACAGAAGGTCAAAGCTGGAATAACTCGATTAGCCAAAGGAAAAGGTATGTTAACAGACAACGACCAAGAAGCAGCATCATTACTGAACAACTATTTCAAGTGTTTGTAACAGAGCCAGTGGGTAACATTCCGAATAACAAGCTTGAACAGTATTGAGATTACAGCTGCACAAATGGAAAAGAAGCTGAGAGAACTGAAGCCAGGCAAGTCACCAGGACCTGATGGAATACACCCGAAAAGTTCTGCTAAAAGAATGTGCTGATGGACTTGCATTGCCACTCACATTAATATTCCAAAAATCCTTACAGGAAGGGACCCTACCAACAAAATTGAAAAAAGTGCAGGTTTCGCCCATCTTCAAAAAAGGATGGCTGCTGAGAACTACAGACCAGTTTCACTAACATGTGTGTGTTGTAAGGTCATGGAATCGCTATTGCGTGATGAAGTAGTAAAATTCATAGATGAGAACAAATTGTTTACAGAACACCAACATGGATTTACGTCAAGGAGGAGCTGTCTGACTAATCTCCTAGAGACATTTGAAGCTTGGAGTAAGGCCATTGACAATGGTAATTGCATCGACACCATCTTTTTAGACTATCAAAAAGCATTTCACACGGTTCTGCACATGAGGCTATTGAAAAAATTGAAAACGTATGGAATAAGAGGAACACTCATAAACTGGATTGAAAGCTTTCTCGTGGGGCGCCAGATGAGGGCGAGCGTTCGAGGACTGTACTCGGAATGGTGGTCAGTAGATAAAGGAGTTCCGCAAGGATCGGTCTTAGAACCACTACTGTTCCTGGTATATGTAAACGATATCCCGGACATAGCAATTTGTGATAGGAAAATCTTTGCGGATGATACAAAAATGTGGAAATCTATATCGACAACAACGAACTGCATGCTACTGCAGCATGACCTAAATATGATGTGTGAATGGTCAAGGAATTGGCTATTAAAGTTTCACGTCAGGAAGTGGAAACGGATGCATTTAGGAGGAAATAACGAACAGTTTGATTACTCA